AATTTAGGCCCCAAGCACAGGTTTAAAAATGAAAAGAAAAAAATCAAAGTGTGGTGGTGTATGCTTAGAATCATACATAGCACAGGGGAGGTAGAGGCAGGTGGATCCTGGGCTCACTGGCCTAGCCTACTTGTGGAGTTCCAATCAAGGGATTCTGCCTCAGTCAACAAGGTGGTCAGTGCCTGAGTTATACAATATTGTTCCTTGGCCTCCACATGCCCATGCCCACCCATACACACACACACACACACACACATACACCATAAATATGGAAGAAATGAACTCCTTTGCACCTTGAGTCATTCTGAGAATTGTTATACTCATCTGCTATTTGCTGCCATGGCTGTGGTCCCAGAAGATTTGCTGTGTGTATTATGGCTTTTCTGATTTGGCTTGCTTTTGAGAGAAGTTCTCACCGTGTAACCCAGGCTAGCCTTGAACTCCAAACCTATCTTCTTTGGCCTCTTGAGTCCTAAAATCACAGATTTGCACCACCACGCCCAGGTGAGAGTTTGTGTGGAGAGAAGTGATCATGAAGAACTTTAAACCAGGGCAACACGATTCTCGATCTGGTGATCTGAGTTCACTCTGAGATCAGCACATAGGTGCATGGGGACAGACACATATACACACCTCTACAACCACACTCATTTTGTACATTCAGAGGTGAGACTCTCCAAATGTAATATAGCTAAATACTGATCTAAAGTCACACAACCTAATCAACAGGAGTTAGATTCGTGTTTTACCAAAGCCGTGGCTCTTAATTACTAGTTTTAAAATAATTTCATAGAAAATTAGTGAGGGCAGAGAATCAAAGAATATGGATTCCTGAGTCCAAAATTTCACTACAAGTGAGTGAAAGCATAAACCGCAGAAACACTAATTGTAAAAGAAGGCAATTAATTAAAGTTCTTTTTCATTACCCTAAGTGTATTATTGTGTGTATGCTCTTGTGTGTATATTTGTATGTATGTGTATGTGTCTGTGTGATTATTTGTGTGTGGTGTGTGTGCTGAACTCAGAGGTCACTTTCCTGATTGAGTTCAGGTCACAATTACTGGCAGCAAGCTCCCATCTCACCAGCCACCTCTCTCCACACAATCTCTGACCTCAATTTCTTCCCCTCCAGCACACAGTACCCCAATATAACTAGAACAGTGTTGTGATCAGCCGGCATCTAACCCAGCATTTCTTTCCACTATTTGTGTTTTGCCAACAAACCAAAACAAAAGCACTTTGTGGACAAACGGTTTCATTCCACAACTTCTGTGATAAAGAGCTTAAAAGCACAAACAGATGAATATGTTGTAGGAGTGAATAATGATATTGACTCTTTCCTGTTTTGATGGAGAAGGAGAATTGGTGAACAGGAAAGTACAGGGTCCTTTGCAGAGGTAAGAGCAGCCTGGAGTTAGGGAAGATGCTTAGCCATGCACATGGTTCCCTCCTATTTCTTCACTCTTCATTTTCATCTGTGAACAAGCACAAAAAGCTAGGCATGGTGTTCTGGTCGGCCATGCCCAGCAAATCAGAAAGGAACTTGTGTCTGCATAATAAGCTTAGAGAGAAATCTAACCCAGGGTAGGATATTTATTTAAATTGGACAGAATTCTCTATGGAATGTCAACTGAGGCATTTTTCCCCCTTTCTTTTTAGTTAGCTCACAAATATTGAGTTTCACCTTGACGTTTTCCTACATATTTATATCATTTTACTGTGCTCATTTCTCCTACCCATTACTGTTCCTTGGCCTTTTTCCTCCTATGGAAGATCCCCATTCTCCTCCCAAGTAGCTCCCCTTTGACTTTCTTATGCATCTATGTATGTTGTGTATGTTTATTTTTAAGTCTAGATTCATAACAGGTAAATCTGTGAGTGTTTTAGTATCAACATTTTTTTTTCTGAGTGTATCTGTGTGTTTGTGCAGTGTGTGTGTGCCCACACATGAGTGGAGGGTAGGAAAGGGCATTGGATCCCTCTCTAAGAACAAACATTATGGGATGCCCTGTTTGCTACATAGGTGCTGGAATCTGAAATCTGGCCCTCACAACTGCACAGTAAGAACTAGTAACTACTGACCCATTCACCAGCCTGACATTTGTTTTTCTCTTATAACACCCCTTCTTGTTCCTCTATCTCCTCCCTTTAGAGTCCCCACACACTTCCCCTTCTGATTTCAAGTTCTATCTATCTATCTATCTATCTATCTATCTATCTATCTATCTATCT